TTATTTAATAATCATTATTGGATAACTTGAAACGTAAGAATGATTAGTGAAATTATTTTTAATTGTATTTTTATAAGCAGTAATATAAATCTTATTATTGGATACCGTATTTCCCCATGTATAATACGCTTTTTTTTCCTAAAAAGTAATAAGTAAAATTAGAGGTGCGTATTATGTATAACTACAAAAAATCTTTTTAAAAAATTGCCGTTTCATAGGTCGATTTCAGCTGCGAAATGACTACTCACCACAAACATACGACAATTTGACCTTAACATTCGGCGATTGTGAAACCCTAAGGATGTCAAATACAATCATAAATATTTACCCTGAACTGACTCCCAACTGAGACAGGATGTGATACAGGGTCGGGTTTAATGTGGGGAACCCGAGCGCCTACAGTCGGGCCAAGAACAAAAATTCCGTTGTGTCGTCCTCGGTGCGTGCACCGATCCATCTCTCTCTAGTGCAATGGCAGATTGCAGCCTCGTGCATCTGTTCCTCAGGGCTGAGCACCTCACAGTGTGATTTATCCACAGTTGCGTCTCTGTCCTCCGACAGAGCCACAATTGAGCCGCACTCTGCCCGAAGACAGAGACGCAATTGAGCCGCACTCTGTCCTCTGACGGAGCCACAATTGAGCCGCACTCTGTCCTCCGACGGAGCCACAATTGAGCCTGCACTCTGTCCTCCGACAGAGCCACAATTGAGTTGCACTCTGTCCTCCGACGGATGAAGAGAATTGAGAAGCACTCTGTCCTCCGACGGAGCCCTGGTGAGCTGCACTCTGTCCTCCGACAGAGCCACAATGAGCCGCACTCTGCCCGAAGACAGAGACGCAATTGAGCTGCACTCTGTCCTCTGACGGAGCCACAATTGTTTTTGCACTCTGTCCTCCGGCAGACCACAATTGAGCCGCACTCTGTCCTCTGACGGAGCCACAATTGAGCCGCACTCTGTCCTCCGACGGAGCCACAATTGAGCCGCACTCTGTCCTCCGACGGAGCCACAATTGAGCCGCACTCTGTCCTCCGACGGAGCCACAATTGAGCCGCACTCTGTCCTCCGACAGAGCCACAATTGAGCCGCACTCTGCCTGAAGACAGAGACGCAATTGAGAGATGATAAAATCCTACTCATCGCGTCAGGTAAATACAATCATATGTACCTGACAATACTTACAAATGTAAAATGAAATATGAATTATCATAAAACTGAATTAAAATAATGTTATTCTATGTTTAAAACAATTTTTTTAAAATAATAGTAGAAAACGCTGGCCGAAATTAAATTGGCGAGGTACATTTTATTGGGTTTGATTACCAAACAAGAGGTGCGTATTATGCGTGAGTAGAAGTATTATCCCGCGCTTTCAGCAGAATTTTAGGAATGCGTATTATGGATGAAGGCGTATTATACATGGGGAATTACGGTAATCCTTCTTAAAGGATAACAGATTAAGCATGAAAGTAAAACCCTAATTAATTTTATTTGTATTTATCTCCCCCCACCCCTAGTTTGTCTCTTCTCTTAATTTTCTCTTTATAGAGGCAATTGGGAGTAATACCTATTAATTTAGCATTGGTCGGTAGAACCACATGCTGTTGCTTCAATTCCCTTCATCTGCGGGAAGATTGTCCAGCGCCCAGCATTCATTACCATGCAGGAAATTAAATTAGGTATCAGTTTAGCACTCTTTTTATTACTCTATCTTTTAGTATGGAAGTACGAGTTGTGTAATGGATAGCGTCTCACGCATACTTGTTAATATAGACCAACACCGGATATCCCGTATATCCGCCTTGGTTACCACTTGATCTCCAAAAATGTTTCGAAAAGGAACCAGTGTCGCTATCAATCAGATGCTTGCAGTACATCTAGCACGTTATCAACATTCGACAGTCAGAATAGCAAATATTTACAAAACCTCGAGAACCGCCATTTTCTCTTAGATGCATAGCCCATAATATGCAATTTTAATTGCATAATTTTCGCAATATATTAAGAAATAAATTAAAAATATTGTCGTTTTGAAGAAAGTTAAAATAAAACAGAAATCTTCTTATTAGATAATTCTTCTTGGATAACAGATAAAACGTGAAAATAAGACCCTATTTAGTTTTATTAGTACTTATCCCCTTTAAAGTTGTGCTTTCTCTCAATTTTTAAAAAAATATTACACACTGATCTTGTTCTATAAACTCCCTTTTTTCATTAGATCATGTCTCTTTCGATTCAAGATAATGTTATTAAGCTTATCAGACTTTATGAAAAGAATTTACATAAAATAAATAGACAACACTTGTCTATATTATTTAATGAAACATGTATGAATATATATATATATATATATATATATATATATAGAGAGAGAGAGAGAGAGGGAGAGGGTGGATGACAATATATACGCCATATTTTGTAAGACTCACTGAAAAACCCTTTGATTTATTCAGCTAGAAAGAGAACAGGTTAAATCGTGTTATGTGTGGGCAATGGTGAGAGGGAAAAGATCATTCAAGCCTTCAGTATATGTACCAACATTCATACTCTGGCTTCCATCTTCAAATTCTATTCAGCAACCACCAAGGGAACGGTGAAGAAGTTTTAAAAAAAGACGGAACAGTAGAGAGGAAAACTGGATCAGGAGGTTACAACAGCAAGAGGAGTCATTATGTTAAGTTAAAGCAAAAGAGATCAATTAGAAAAGATCCAACTCAATCCATAAGACGTTTGGCACGTGAGGGAGGAGTTTCGGCTTTGGCAGTTCAAAAAGCAGTGAAAAAAGACTTGAAAATGAAATCGTACGTGAAACCTGTGAGACAACTTGTTACTAAAGGACAGAAAGTTAGATGGTATATATATATATATATATATATATATATATATATATATATATATATATATATATATATATATCAGAATAACATTTTAGAAAGCCAACCTTCTTGCTAACGTCTTTTGTCTTAAATTCCTAAAGTTTTGTTTTTTTCGAAAACTGTATTCCGCCAGTTTTCAATAATTTATCTGTTTCTTGCCAAATATTGCTATACATAGATACATACATACATATATATATATATATATATATATATATATATATATATATATATATATATATATATATATTTAGTTTATGCAAAATTAGGTAATCCCGTATGGCTAGACCCAAGGAGGATGATATCCGGAGAGCTCAATGTAAATTCAGAGCAAATATGTTTGAAACATAGTTGCTCTGAATTTCTAATGATACCACCCGTCAAAAATGTGTAAATTTCTTTTCATTTTCATTTCAACCTTTGGAAGTAAAAGTCTGATGATCCAGAGCCCTTTAAAAGGGCTGTGGTGCAACAGTATATTATTCAAATATATATATATATATATATATATATATATATATATATATATATATATATATATATACAACCACATAACTAAATCTCTCAAAAAAAAAACAATGTGTGTATCAATTTATATGCCCGTTCAGAGATTGTATTTGACATTAATAATAAACCCACTACATATATTGGTTTTACTACAACCACGCTCTCCCGTAGACTTACCTGTCACCTTTATGATGTTAGTTCTATTAAACAATGTTACTTAGAAAACCATAGCCATTATTAGACAGATATTAGTTGATAACACAATAATACTCACACATACGTAGAGTAAAAACAACCTCCAGATATTCGAGGCCATCTACATCAAAAGAAAGCAACTCACGCTCAACAAAATTACATTTCAAACTAATCACAACACATTACATTGCATCTAGATATATGGTTCTGTTGTTAATATTTCAGTCTCTCATGTGATATGACGTCATAGAACCGCATCATCATTTTAGTGCCTGCGTCTGCTCACGAACGTTATCGTCGCATAGCAACCTTCTATGTCAACATAACAGAATATCATCTTTGATGGTGAATATCTTTGTTTAAATGTCTATATAACCACTCTGATGATGGCTAATGTGAGTCGAATGCTTAAATCAAGGAAAAACATGATACAAAAATATCCAAATGTTGGACAATTTTTGTCTTTATTTTCTCCAGAAATTGAAGCAGCCATAGAACGACTCATGATCAAACATAATAGACATTCGTTGTCTGTTATATTTAACAATATATGTTGGAATATCAACAAATTTTCGCATTAAATAATTAGCATTAAAAAAATCCATAGTCTAATAAAAGGTTTAAAAGCTTAACCCAATCATAAGATAGAAAAACACTATATGACGTTGTCAAAAAACAAATTGCAGTTCAGTGCGACGCGTTTATGTACGAAACAGCCCTTTAGGAATAAATAAATAAATAAATAAAATAAAATAAAACAAAATTCTCTAGAAACTTAATGACATATTATGGTGTCAAAAGCTCTCTTTCGCTGTGACTGACCAGACGATGTGCGCACATGAACGCCATGATTCGCTTTGAAATGGATACCCCCACCCTACCTCGGCTTGATCTCTTTCCGAAGGTGACTGATATGTGGATAAAAATTATCTCTTAGACCCCTTACCAAAATGGTCGCCCCAGCCGTTTCCATAGTAATTAATTTTGCGAAGGAACATGCTTATAAAGATGCGTAAATGTCAAGATTGGTTATTCCTAAATTTTCGCTTGAGGATGAAACAGGGCTTGATACTTTAATTCAATTTAATTTTAATAATTATATTGAGGTTTTCGGCTCTCGTTTTTGAAACTCGAGAACTCTTATGTAGCAAAGGAATCATATTTAAAAAAATAATTATAATATATATATATATATATATTTATATGTATGTGTGTGTATTTGTGTGTGTTTGTGCGTGTGTTTATGTGTGTGTGAAAGATTTATATATATATATATATATGTGTGTGTGTGTGTGTGTGTGTGTGTGTGTGTGTGTGTGTGTGTGTGTGAAGGATTTCACCTGTGAATAGCGTGTTCAAGACTTCTTTCAATCATTGTTACATTTGAAGTGTTAACAGGAACCGTCTATGGTGACGGTCGCGATGACCGCCCTGTGGGTAACGAACTAGAAATTTGTTCGTTAGTAAGTTGATCATCGGATGAGTGCTTCAATCGGGAGACAAAATTTACATAAGTACTGTTTAAGCCACTCCTGCTCACAGTGGCGTGTTTCATAGTTGAATTACAAACTGCTTTTGTGAGTGAAAACTTGTTTATCGGTTCCATAACCAAACAATCTGCTTCTTTAATTGTGCGTGACAAGTGGAATTTCAAAGAGACCCCGGTTTTCTTTTCTTTTTTTTTTTAAACTGACCACCATCATTATCACCAGCGATTTCTAACTGATGGTCGTCTTCGGAAAGCCAAACCAAAGAGCTTAAATTAATATGCACAGCTAGAAAGATCCATATAAAGGCCGTTCTAATAACTTGGACTGATTTTAGATAATTTAAATATTTAATTAAGTTTAAATGTTTAATCATTTTTTTTCTTTTTCTTTCACATTTAAAAACTTAAGTCTTTGTCAATTTCAACCATGGAAAGATTAACAATCAAACAATGTGTTAAAATTATCGAAGCCAATTACGAAAATGGACGTTTAAATCAAAATGCATTTTGCGCAGTTCGCGATTTTTTTTTATCAGTATAATCGACCAACCGAGAGTGCAATTGAAAAAATTGTCCGTAAATTCAAACTGGGTCGGTGGCTAATGTGAAAACATCATTGCGTGCTCGTTTACGCCGTTCAGATGAAAACATTGCTGCAGCGCACGAGAATGTGGCCAAAAATCCAGACCCCTCTATTCGTCATCGCGCGCAGGAATTGAACCTCTCTACAACAACGTTACATCGAATTTTGACAAAAAGATTTGTCTCTACACGCTTACAAAATTCAATTGACACAAGAACTGAAAGCTGCTGACCAATTGGCGCGCCGTATAGTCGTCATTTGGCTGCACGAGCAAAGACAAGTCGATGAAGATTTTTCGCAAAAAAAATCCTCTTTAGTGATGAAACCCTTTTTCAGCTTGGTGGATACGGTAATAAACAGAATTGTCGCATTTGGGCTGATGAAAATCCAAGGAAGATTGTTGAAAAGGCACTGCATCCACAAAAGCTCACTGTTTGGAGTCCATTTTTTGCTAGAGAAATCATTGGGCCGTATATATATAAATTTGAACGTCCATTTTCGTAATAGGCTTCGATAACTTTAACACATTGTTTGCTTGTTAATCTTTCCATGGTTGGAATTGCCAAAGACTTAAGTTGTTAAATCTGAAAGAAAAAGAAAAAAACTCATTAGATGCTTAAACTTAATTCACATTTAAAATCGATCCAAGTTATTGGAACAGCCTTTACAAAAGTAAAGGCCAAATGTACTGTCTATAGTACCATTTGATTGTTGACTCCATTTGGTTACAGTGAATAAAGTGGGCCGTAAATTTATAAATTTGAATTCCCATTTTCGTAATAATCTTCGAAAACTTTAACACGTTGTTTGATTGTTAATCTTCCCATGGTTGAAATTGTCAAAGACTTATGTTGTTAAATCTGAAAGGAAAAGAAAAAAAAATCATTAGACGCTTAAACTTAATTCACATTTAAAATCGGTCCAAGTTACTGGAACACACAATATATCCACACTCATCAAAATTACATTTCAAACCAGTCACAGCATATTACAATGCATTTAAACATATGGTACTGTTGATAACATTTCTCTCACGCACTTGCTCATGTACGATGTGGTAAAAGCGCATTACGAATTTGCGACCTGCGTTTGCTATTCCGCGACCGTTATCGTCACATAGCATACTTTTATATAAACAAAACAGTATGTCATCTTTGATGGTGAACATCTCTGTTGTAATGCCCATATAACCACTCTGATGATAGCACACGCGAACCGAAAGGTTAGACCGAGGAACAACATAGTAAAGAAACATCCAAATGTTGGACAGTTTTTTCTCTTTATTTTCTCCCTTGACTAAAACGGCTCATGATCAAACATAATAAACGTTCGTTGTCTGCTATGTTTAACAATACATGTTTAAATAATGATCTGCTGCCCATATACAATATATATATATATATATATATATATATATATATATAGTTGTATATTTAAGTAGCAATCCTTCCTTTATGCATGTTTCATTAAAAACGACAGAAAAGGTACTACGGTTGAGCTTTTTATTTATTTTTTCTTATATATATATATATATATATATATATATATATATATATATAATGATTTGACGGACAAGGGTCTGCGGTTTCTTTCAAAAATATTCTTTCAAACATTTTGGAACTACCAGCGTCTCTCGTTCCGTGCGCATTTGTAAACGTGATAACGTCAACAAAAGACCAGTCCGTTGAAATCTCAACGGATGGAACGCGTCACAAAAACTTTTTTTTTATCAATTTCTCATACTTTTTTTCTGAATAATGTTTGTTGTTATATAAAATTATACAAAATATATATATATATATATATATATATATATATATATATATATATTTAAAAAATCAGAAGGTCAGTTGAATCAGCTACTTGGTTTCAAACTTACAGCGATTTTTTATCAAATGACCACATAAAATAATAAAATTAAAATGCGTTAAGTGGTCATTGTTCTCTTCCTTCTTCTTCTTCTTCTTCATCATCTTCATCATCTCCTTCTTCGTCATCTTCTTCTTCTTCATCTTTTTTCTCCTTCTTCATCATCTTCTTCATCATCTTCTTCTTCATCATCATCTTCTTCTTCTTCATCATCTTCTACTTTTTCATCATCAACTTCTTCGTCATCTTCTTTTTCATCATCTTCTTCTTCGTCATCTTCTTCTTCTTCATCATCATCATCTTCTTCGTCATCATCTTCTTCTTCATAATCATCATCTTCTTCTTCTTCGTCATCTTCTTCTTCATCATCATCATCTTCTTCTTCTTCATCATCATCATCTTCTTCGTCATCTTCTTCGTCATCTTCTTCTTTTTCATCATCTTCTTCATCATCTTCTTTTTCTTCATCATCATCATCATCTTCTTCTTCGTCATCATTTTATCTTCATCATCTTCTTCTTCTTCATCATCATCATCTTCTTCTTCTTCGTCATCTTCATCATCATCATCATCATCTTCTTCTTCGTCATCTTCTCCTTTTTCATCATCATCTTCTTCGTCTTCTTCTTCTTCATCATCATCATCATCTTCGTCATCTTCTTCTTTTTCAACATCTTCTTCTTCGTCATCTTCTTCGTCATCATCATCATCTTCTTCTTCTTCTTCGTCATCTTCTTCTTCATCATCATCATCTTCTTCTTCGTCATCTTCTCCTTTTTCATCATCTTCTTTTTCTTCATCATCATCATCATCTTTTTCATCATCTTCTTTTTCTTCATCATCATCATCATCATCATCTTCTTCGTCATCTTCTTCTTTTTCATCATCTTCTTCTTCATCATCTTCTTTTTCTTCATAATCATCATCATCATCTTCTTCGTCATCTTCTTCTTTTTCATCATCTTCTTCTTCGTCATCTTCTTTTTCTTCATAATCATCATCATCATCTTCTTCGTCATCTTCTTCTTTTTCATCATCTTCTTCTTCGTCATCTTCTTTTTCTTCATAATCATCATCATCATCATCTTCTTCGTCATCTTCTTTTTCATCTTCTTCTTCTTCATCATCTTCTCCTTTTTCATCATCAACTTCTTCGTCATCTTCTTTTTCATCATCTTCTTCTTCGTCATCTTCTTCTTCTTCATCATCATCATCTTCGTCATCATCTTCTTCTTCATAATCATCATCTTCTTCTTCTTCGTCATCTTCTTCTTCATCATCATCATCTTCTTCTTCTTCATCATCATCATCTTCTTCGTCATCTTCTCCGTCATCTTCTTCTTTTTCATCATCTTCTTCATCATCTTCTTTTTCTTCATCATCATCATCATCATCTTCTTCGTCATCTTCTTCTTTTTCATCATCTTCTTCTTCGTCATCTTCTTTTTCATCATCTTTTCTTCATCTTCATCTTTCATCATCATCATCTTCTTCGGCATCTTCTCCTTTTCATCATCTTCGTCATCTTCTTCATCATCATCATCATCTTCTTCGTCATCTTCTTCTTTTTCATCATTCTTCTTCGTCATCATCTTCATCATCATCATCATCTTTTTCTTCATAGTCATCATCATCATCATCTTCTTCGTCTTCTTCTTTTTCATCATCCTCTTCTTCATCATCTTCTTTTCTTCATAATCATCATCATCTTCATCTTTTCATCTTCTTCTTTTCATCTTCTTTTTCTTCATAATCATCATCATCACCATCTTCTTCGTCATCTTCTTCTTTTTCATCATCTTCTTCTTCGTCATCTTCTCCTTTTTCATCATCTTCTTTTTCTTCATCATAATCATCATCATCTTCTTCGTCATCTTCTTCTTTTTCATCATCTTCTTCTTCATCATCTTCTTTTTCTTCATAATCATCATCATCATCATCATCATCTTCTTCGTCATCTTCTTCTTTTTCATCATCTTCTTCTTCGTCATCTTCTTTTTCTTCATAATCATCATCATCATCATCTTCTTCGTCATCTCCTTTTTCATCATCTTCTTCTTCATCATCTTCTTTTTCTTCATAATCATCATCATCATCATCTTCTTCGTCATCTTCTTCATCATCATCACCATCTTCTTCGTCATCTTCTTCTTTTTCATCATCTTCTTTTTCTTCATAATCATCATCATCATCATCTTCTTCGTCATCTTCTCCTTTTTCATCATCATCTTCTTCGTCATCTTCTTCATCATCATCACCATCTTCTTCGTCATCTTCTTCTTTTTCATCTTCTTTTTCTTCATAATCATCATCATCATCTTCTTCGTCATCTTCTTCTTTTTCATCATCTTCTTCTTCGTCATCTTCTTTTTCATCATCTTTTTCTTCATAATCATCATCATCATCATCTTCTTCGGCATCTTCTCCTTTTTCATCATCTTCGTCATCTTCTTCATCATCATCACCATCTTCTTCGTCATCTTCTTCTTTTTCATCATATTCTTCTTCGTCATCATCTTCTTCATCATCATCCTTTTCTTCATAGTCATCATCATCATCATCTTCTTCGTCATCTTCTTCTTTTTCATGATCCTCTTCTTCGTCATCTTCTTTTTCTTCATCATCATCACCATCTTCTTCGTCATCTTCTTCTTTTTCATCATCTTCTTCTTCGTCATCATCTTCTTCATCATCATCTTTTTCTTCATAATCATCATCATCATCATTTTCTTCGTCATCTCCTTCTTTTTCATCATCCTCTTCTTCATCATCTTCTTTTTCTTCTTCATCATCATCATCATCATCATCTTCTTGTCATCTTCTCCTTTTTCATCATCATCTTCTTCGTCATCTTCTTCATCATCATCATCATCATCTTCTTCGTCATCTTCTTCTTTTTCATCATCTTCTTCTTCGTCATCTTCTTTTTCTTCATAATCATCATCATCATCATCTTCTTCGTCATCTTCTCCTTTTTCATCATCTTCTTCTTCGTCATCTTCTTCTTTTTCATCATCCTCTTCTTCATCATCTTCTTTTTCTTCATCATCATCATCATCACCATCTTCTTCGTCATCTTCTTCTTCTTCGTCATCTTTTTTTTCATCATCTTCTTCTTCACCATCATCATCATCATCATCTTCTTCATCATCATCATCATCTTCTTCGTCATCTTCTCCTTTTTCATCATCATCTTCTTCATCATCATCTTTTTCTATTCTCCGTCATCTTCGTCTTCATCTTCTTCTTCATCATCTTCTTCGTCATCTTCTTCTTAATCATCATCTTCTTCTTCTTCACATCCTCCTCCTCCCTTTCCATTAGACCCAGCGTCGTGCGTTTGTTTATTTATTTTTGAAAATTATAATGTAACGTTCTTTAGTTCTCTTTTTTTTTCTTTTTTTTTTTTTTTTTTTTAAATAAAAAAAAGCGCTAGGAATTCATCTCATAAAATACAGCCTGAGGATACCGCCAGATTAAAACCAAGGTAGCAGATTCAACTGACCTCCTGATTTTTAAAGTTAAAAAAAAAAAACTCTACATGTTATTTTTACTTTAGTTTTTTCACACTTTTTAATACTACTGTTTCCTGGTCTGATCTCTGACTACTAACCTTACATATATATATATATATATAATAAAAATGCTTAAACACTAATATTCCATGGTCATAATTTATTCCATTGGAATCGTAAATACGATCCAAATCATCAGACCTACAAATTCAAAATGAATAAATACGATCCAAATCATCAGACCTACAAATTCAAAATGAATTTTGAATTTGTAGGTCTGATGATTTGGATCGTATTTACGATTCCAATGGAATAAATTATGACCATGGAATATTAGTGTTTAAGCCTTTTTATTATATATATATATATATATGTAAGGTTAGTAGTCAGAGATCAGACCAGGAAACATTTTTATTATATCCTTACTCTGTCCTGGACATTGGGTTCTACCTGGATTCTTCCTCTTGGAAATTTTTTTTCTGAAAATATACATGTATGGGTATTTTTTTATATATATTTTGCATATGTTGGTATATTTTCCACTAATATTATCTCTCTCTCTCTCTCTCTCTCTATATATATATATATATATATATATATATATATAATTACATAAATCATTCATACAAAAAACAAATATAGGGGTTAATGATTTAAATGACCTTATGCAACTGGAATTTATAAACAGGGATCATAACATTCATCTACAGGTTCGGGGTTAGTGTATCTTATTGAAATTGTTTGCGAAGATGTATTCTCGCAATTATAATCATTAACGTCTATGTTTGTTTTTTGTATGAATGATTCATGTAATTATAAATTGAACTGCACCTATAATCGAAATATATATATATATATATATACATATATATATATATATATATATATATATATTGATATCGTGAGCAGTAAATGTACTTGTACACAGAAAAAGATTTTCGTGTACTAAAAAGTCGGCCTTCGTACACATTGGACTTGGTAAACACGTTGTTTATAATCCACTTTACTTCGTTTCTCGTTCGACGGTTGTTTGTGCTAAAGCAATTTAGTAAAGAAAGTCTCCTGGATCGGAGCTCTGACACAGGCGCTTAAGAGAGCTTTTGATGATGAAAACCTACTTTGGCCCGCTTTAATCTTTCGCCTTCGAAAACGAGAGCCAAATTATTTCAACCTCCATCTAGTTGCTTTCATGTCGTAACTTCATTAGGCATCCAGTTTGCCGCCATTTTCTTCCGTCCTTTTTTCTTTCTTCTCGTTTCTTTTATTGTTTTTTTTTTTCTTCGCATTTTTATTTCGCGTTATGTTGTTATTTCAATCTGTCTGTGGGTGCTCTTTCTTTCTTTCTCTCTTTCTGTCTTTCTTTCTTTCTTTCTTTGATTTTCATTCTTCTTTCTTCCGTCAGTTTTCTTTCTTTCTTTCTTTCTTTCTTTCTTTCTTTCCTTCTTTCTTTCTTTCTTTGATTTTTATTCTTCTTTCTCCCATCAGTTTTCTTTCTTTCTTTCTTTCTTTGATTTTTATTCTTCTTTCTCCACTCAGTTTTCTTTCTTTCTTTCTTTCTTTCTTTCTTTCTTTCTTTCTTTCTTTCTTTGATTTTCATTCTTCTTTCTCCCCTCAGTTTTCTCTCTTTCTTTCATTCTGTCTGTGGGTGATCTTTCTTTTTTTCTTTCTCCCCTCAGTTTTCTTTCTTTCTTTCTTTCTTTCTTTGATTTTCATTCTTCTTTCTTCCGTCAGATTTTTCTTTCTTTCTTTCTCCCCTCAGTTTCATTTTATTCTAACTTTTTTTCTTTCTCCCCTCAGTTTTCTTTCTTTCTTTCTTTCTTTGATTTTCATTCTTCTTTCTTCCGTCAGTTTTTTCTTTCTTTCTTTCTTTCTTTCTTTCTTTCTTTCTTTGATTTTCATTCCTCTTTCTCCCCGCGGCTTTCTTTCTTTCTTTCTTTCTTTCTTTCTTTCTTTCTTTCTTTCTTTCTTTCTTTCTCCCCTCAGTTTCATTTCTTTTCTAACTTTTTTTCTTTCTCCCCTCCCTTTTTGCTTTCTTTCTTTCTTTCTTTCTTTGATTTTCATTCTTCTTTCTTCCGTCAGTTTTTTCTTTTTTTCTTTCTTTCTTTTCTTTCTTTCTTTCTTTTCTTTCTTTGATTTTTTTTCTTTCTTTCTTTCTTTGATTTTTATTCTTCTTTCTCCCATCAGTTTTCTTTTCTTTTTTTTTTTTTTTCTTTCTTTCTTTCTTTGATTTTCATTCCTCCCGGCTTTCTTTCTTTTTTTTCTTTCTTTTTCTTTTTTCTTTCTTTCTTTATTTTTTTTTTTCTCCCCTCAGCTTTCTTTCTTTTTTCTTTCTTTCTTTCTTTTTTGATTTTATATTCCTCTTTTTCAGCTTTCTTTCTTTCTTTCTTTCTTTCTTTCTTTCTTTCTTTCTTTGATTTTATATTCCTCTTTCTCCCCACGGCTTTCTTTCTTTCTTTCTTTCTTTCTTTCTTTCTTTCTTTCTTTCTTTCTTTCTTTGATTTTTATTCTTCTTTCTCCCATCAGTTTTCTTTCTTTCTTTCTTTTTTTCTTTCTTTCTTTCTTTGATTTTCATTCCTCTTTCTCCCCTCGGCTTTCTTTCTTTTTTCTTTCTTTCTTTCTTTCTTTCTTTCTTTGATTTTCATTCTTCTTTCTCCCCTCAGTTTCATTTCTTTTCTATCTTTAATTCTGAAATTTATAACTTCTTTATTCTTTCTTTCTTTATTCTTTCTTTCTTCCTCCCTTCTTTTTCATTTCTTTCTGAATTTACGTTTTTGTTCGATTATACCTCTTTCGGGTCTTACTTTTTTTTTTTTTTTTTTTCGTTCCTTCTTTCTCTCTTTTTTCTTTCTTTCTTTATTCCTCACTTTTTTCTTTTCAACTTCAAGTTCTTTCTTTCTTTTTATAGTTCCTTACTTTTTTCCGTTCCTTATTTTTCTCTTCTCTTTTAAGTTATTTTTTTCTTTCTTTTTTCTTTTTATTCTTTCGTTTGCTTTTTTATTTCTTCATTTAGCTGTTTCCTTACTTTTTTTTTTCTTCGGGTTGAAGTTCTTTCTTTCTTTCTTATTGTTTTTTTTTTCCTTTGATTTCAAAGACCTTCTTTATTTCTATTGCTTCTTGCTTTATTCAAATTCTTACTTTTCCTTTTGAGTCTCGAGTTATTTCTTTCTTTCGTTTCTTTGTTTTTGTTTTTTGTTTTTTTGTTTCGTTTTTGTTACATTGATTTTGCTTTCTTTCAAACTTTCTGTTTCCCTGCAATTTCACATTCTTTCTTTCTTTCTTTCTTTCTTTCTTTCTTTCTTTCTTATTGATTTTGCTTTCTTCCGTAGTTCTTTTTCGTCGGTTTCAAATTCTTGCTTTTTTTCTTTTCTTTTTTTCCTTTTATTTTTATTACTGAGTTGCTTTCTTCCGTAATTTCTGTTTTTTCTTCGGTTTCAAATTTTTTCTTTCTTTCTTTGACTTGCTTCCGTTTTTTCTTTTACTCTTCGATTCCAAGTTCTTTCTTCTTCTTTTTCTTTCTTTTTTTCTTTATTTCATTTTTTTTCTTCTTTCTTTCTTTCTTTCTTTCTTTCTTTCTTTCTTATTGCTTTTTTTTCTTTTGGTTTCAAAGACCTTCTTTCTTTCTATTAATTCTTACTTTATTCAAACTCTTACTTTTCCTTTTGAGTTTCAAGTTATTTCTTTCTTTTGTTTGTTTGTTATTTTTGGGTTTTTTTTTGTTTTGTTTTTTTACATTGATTTTGCTTTCTTCCAAACTTTCTGTTCCCCTGCAGTTTTACATTCTTTCTTTCTTTCTTTTTTACTTCTTTCTTTCTTTCTTTCTTTCTTTCTTTCTTTCTTTCTTTTTTTTTCTTTCTTTCCGTTCTTTCTTTTCCCTTAAGTTTCAATTTCTTTCTCTCTTGTTTTCTTTTTCTGTTTATTTTCAAATTATTCTTTTCTTTCTTTCTTTCTTTCTTTCTTTCTTTCTTTCTTTCTTTCTTTCTTTCTTTCTTTCTTTTCCCTTAAGTTTCTTTCTTTCTCTCTTGTTTTCTTTTTCTGTTTATTTTCAAATTATTCTTTTCTTTCTTTCTTTCTTTCTTTCTTTCTTTCTTTCTTTCTTTCTTATTGATTTTGCTTTCTTCCGTAGTTTTTTTTTACATCGGTTTCAAATTCTTTCTTTTTTTTCTTTTCTTTTTTTCCTTTCATTTTTATTATTGACTTACTTTCTTCCTTACTTTCTGTTTTTTTTCTTCGGTTTCATATTTTTTCTTTTACTTGTTTCCGTTTTTGCTTTTTCTCTTCGATTCCAAGTTCTTTTTTCTTTTTCTTTTTTATTATTGATTTTGCCTTCTTCCGTACTTTCTTTCTTTCTTCGGTTTCAAATTCTTTCTTTCTTTCTTTCTTTATTTTACTTCTTTCTTTATTTCTTTTCTGGCTTCCATTTTTTTTTCTTTTTCTCTTCAGGTTCAAGGTCTTTCTTTCTTCTTTTATTTTCCATTCGTATCACCAATTTCTCCACCAGAGTTTATATTTATTTCTGTCCACCTTAGACATCCTTTATTTAATATCCTCCACCCGTCTTGCTATCAAAAGTCCATTCTTCTTTCTATTCGCAATTCGTTCTCAAAGCATAATCATTTTTCTTTCATGGTCTTCCTATTTGTCGTCTCTTATTACATATGAAGTCTCTCCCGATGCTATTTCATCAATATCTTTCTCTTCCTGACATGCAAAGTCCAAATACTTTGATTTCCTTCTTATTGTTATGCCGATATAATTCTTCACAGAGATTTCCTCGATTCATTTCGACAACCTATACTTTCTCTAAATGTCTTCCATTATATATATATATATATATATATATATATATATATATATATATATATATATACATACATATATATATATGTGTGTGTGTATATATATATATATATATATATATATATATATACATATATATACATACATATATATATGTGTGTGTGTGTGTGTATGTATATATATATATATATATATATATATATAAATATATATATATATATATATATATATATATATATACATACATATATATATGTGTGTGTGTATGTATATATATATATATATATATATATATATATATATATATATATATATATATATATATATACAGGGTGTCCATAAATTTCGTGTGCACTTTAAAAATTTATAACCTTATTTGTATTTGTGATAGAAATAATCTGTAAAAATGATTAGAAAAAGTAAATCTATATTTTTTAAGGTTTTATTGAAATTTTATTTAAGTTTCCACGTGTACTCCATCATTAGCAATACAAAGGGTAATACGATTTGGCAGTTCGCTGAAAACATTTGCCAACTGATTTACAGTAATGCCTGAAATCACATTAGTTATTTTAGCTATACTTAAAACTAGGTACATTAAACTTTATAACATTTTTTACAGATTATTTCTATCGCAAATACAAAAAAAAAGTTATAATTTTTTTTTAAAGTGCACACCCTGTATATGTATATGTGTGTGCGTATATATATGTGTGTGTGTGTGTGTGTGTGTGTGTGTGTGTGTGTGTGTGTGTGAAGTTTGTAAACATATTATCACCAATAGTATTTTACGCCATCTAGCACTCACACAGCAACCCAATCACCTCTCTTGACTCGTGGCATTTCAAATGTAAGATAAATTGCTTTTCTGTAACGAATGCAAAACAGGAAATACTATCACTAAGACATGTATGTAAATTCGTCTTCGGTTTAATAACCATCAGTAAAACCATTTCCTTCACACTTGGACGTGGTGTAATGATTAACAAGCTTGTCTCGCGAGATCAATTACGACGGAAATTTGAGTACGGTCCTCACTGGGTGTCCCATACTTTCGGCCTTGTGCCACATCTAACCTACGTTTAGAAAAGCTCACCCTATGAAAGCTATCAAAGGGAACAGCACTGAAGATGCACATTTCAACCGACCGATCCTTAGTACTGATAATGCTAAAAGCGTCCTTTTCGCGGTATCTTTTAAGCACCAACAAGAGACGCCAACAGTGCGAGTTAAAATACATTTCTAAAATAAAATCAGAGTCTTTTTTGGCTTCATTTGCAGTATAAGCACCAAAAGCCTACAGTATCGAGAATGCGCGGTTCTGGTATGAAATTGCCTAGTTATTTCGAATCTCTATCTATAAAAGGCAGAGCCGCAATTTTCGACGGATTTGCACCAAAATTTACATGCACATGCTCCAAGTTAGTGGAAAGGCCAAGACCGACTTTGCATTTCCCAACTCCCATCGATAGTGGAAATAATCGATTTGTTCATGCTTCTACGGCAGTTTTCATGTAGTGTGCGGCCATTTTCTACTGGCCAGTATGAGAGCCTATAGCTGGCTGCCACGAATAGGCAGGAAGATTCTGTTGGCCAGCGTGAGAGCCAACAGCTGACTGAGACGAATGTTAACTAGCATGCTAGCACACAAAAAAAATCGATAGCTGCATTCGTCACAAGGGGGAAAAATTTAAATCTGCATGGCACTTTACTCCAATTGGCTCATTCGCTTGCTTAAACTCAACGTTGATTCTGATTCCCCAGAACTGGGTTGCGTGTGAAAAAGTATTCGTTGTTAACATTCTTTTTTCATTCGGTTTTTCCAGTTACGAGTCCTTTTTTAAAGCTGATCGTTTTGTGTTCATTTTGTTTAGTTCTTTTTTTCATAACAGATTTAATGTTTAGTATAGAGCTTAGAAAAAATTCACAGTGTGAGATAGGCAAGAAGTAAGGCATGTAGCAACATCAGCACGGCAAAGGGCACTCTTTTAAAGGCAAGGAAGGTCAAAAATATTTTAAGTCAAGTGATAGCGATTGCTGTATGAGTCGTACGATTTTTGAATCAAGCACGGGCAACGCCGGACTATGCTGCTAGTATGACATTAAAACTCGATTACCGTTTTTGATTTATCGTCAATGTAAGTTCGACTTCTTTCTCGTCGCGTACACAGAATTTCCGCCATTACTGGCGTTGTTTACATACGTTTGCCTCTAGGCGTCATGCGGCGTGGAAGGTTCACTTGTCTTGATTTCTACGCAATATGCTATATTTGAAATAAAGGCGCAAAATAATGCGAGAAAAAAAAAACCTTAAAATCCAACAATTAAAATAAAATAAAATAAAAAATACGTACCTGAAAAGTAAAATAAAGCATTTTCCCCTTTTTTTTAACAGTATTTGTTTTATGTGTCGTGAAAGTTTCTTGAATTAAAAGCTTCATAAATTATATTTTAGGGTGAGATTCTGTTTGATTAGCTATAAGCAGATTTATTAAGGACAATATAGAAAAATTACTATTCATTTAAAACTTCTTTTTTAAAAAATAAGCGCATTTCAAAATAACATCTGCGAAAATCGCGCATTAATGAAGAACAGAAAAATACGAAAAGCTGCAAAATGCCGTTAATTAAGTAAGCTTCCGCGCATTACGACTAGAGGAAAACGTATGTAAACAACGCCAGTAATGGCAGTCGGAGAACGCGAATGAGATCGAACTTATATTGACGATAAATCGGAAACGGTAATCGAGTGCAATGTTTTAATGTCATTTTCGAAATAACCAGGCAATTGCACACCAGAATTGTACATTCTCAGTATCCAGTATATTTGTCCATACTTCTGAGATGAGGTATTATGTACACTATTTACATTATTCGGACTGTCGTCCTCATCTTTGTCGCCAGATTTATTACAAACTTTCGGCCCTTTAGTATCTGTCTATATTTCTGAGATTAAGTATGATGTACATTATTTACATTATTAGGACTATTGTCCTCATCTTTGTCGCCATATTTATTACAACGTTTCGACCGTTGTACGCTCCGGCCTTCTTCAGGTGGTTGGAATGTCGAACTGAACCCTTTATTTCGCTCACTGGGGCAGACTGTTCCATTTCCACGTGCCATGTTTTTTAATGGATGTCAGTCATCAGTTATCTTCTCAAGGACACATGGCACAGTGGATAAAGGCGTTAGTGAGATCCAGTGACAGTACCCAAAGAGTGTGAGTTCAATACCCGGTTGAAGCAGTGGAGAACTTGGAGATGGGAATTAACAGAAGATAACTGATAACTGACATCCATTAAAAACACGGCACGTGGAACTGGAACAGTCTACTCCAGTGAGCGAAATAAAGGGTTCAGTTCGACATTCCAACCATCTTAAGAAGGCCGGAGCGTACAACGGCCGAAACGTTGTAATAAATATGGCGACAAAGATGAGGACAATAGTCCTAATAATGTAAATAGTGTAAAAAAATATTTCAACATATTCTACCAGAAAAAAATGTTCAAGACAGTTCTGCTAAGAAGCTATATATATATATATATATATATATATATATATATATATATATATATATATATATATATATATAAAAGTAGGAGCGTCATTAGGGATAACCAGATAAGATTTAAATATTCCTGCAAACAACGAATATTTTGCTATTTTCTACAGTTTTGAGAAGAGTCATTAATATTCAACTAGTTTTCCAGACAAAATAATATATATATATATATATATATATATATATATATATATATATATATATATATATATATATATATATATATATATATATATATATATATATATATATAAATCAGATAAGGGAATACAAAAAACAACTTTGTCAGTAAAATTAGGAAGTGACCTCAGGTAATTTTTTATTTAATATGAAAATGTTTTTACTTTTTTTTTCACATTGGCCGTATGGAATTTCTCAAGGCAGGGAAAGTGCCCGTCAAAACATAATTTACCCATTAGAGCTTTCGAATATTTACTGGAAAAAATGACGAAAAAAATGTTTATTATGCTGAAATGTGGCAATTCAGAAAACTTTGCCTTCTCTATTTGCGTATACCGTGAATTAGTGATCTTAATGCAAAGTTCCGTCGGCAAATTTCGTCTGGTGCGACAATCTGTTATCTTTCTATCTAGTATTATACTCACAACTCTTTAGGTCGAGTCACTGGATCTAACTAAATGTCATTATCCACTGGGCCATGTGTCTTTGAGGTAAATAATGCAAGTAATCATATCTCTTCCCAGAGATACAGACGGATAGACGATTTTTTGTATTAAAAGGTATTTTAACATATGCTACCGGAAAAAATATTCAAGATAAAAATATTCGAGATATGCAACTAACATGTATTAAAAATAAAACATGTGACTAAAGGGGAAGAACTGGATCACATTCCAAGTTAAGATATAAATATTCCCTGAAACAAGGAATATTTTGGTATTTTCTATAGTTTTGAGAAGGGTCATAAACATTCAAATAGTTCTTCAGACAAAATAATATTTTATTTTAGAATATAATTCAGATAAAGAAAGACCAAGAACAACTTTACCGGTAAAATTAAGTTTGGTCACCGCTGTGGAATACCAGATACTGTAAGCTTAGATGTGCAGGTGGTATAACGGTTAATGGCTCGGAATTGTTAATCGGAGAGCCGAGATCTAATTCTCGTTGGGTTCGTTATATTCACTCACTTTGAAGAGTATGTAGCCAGTTCTCTCCTCGGAGGGCGATTTCAACTGTTGAGTGGGTGATTTCAACTGCGATGTGCAATTTAACAGAAAATGGTGGGCGATTGAAAATCTAAGAATTAAAAAAGTATTTCAACTTATTCTACCCGAAAAAAAATTCAAAGCAGTTCTGCTAAGAAGCTGTATAAAAAAAAAAACAGGAGAGTCATTGCGAATAACCAGATAAGATTTAAATATTCCTGAAAGCAAGGAATATTTTGGAATTTTTCCTATAATTTTCAGAAGGGTCAGTAACATTCAAATAGTTCTTCAGACAAAATAACATTTTATTTTAGGTTATAAATCAAATAAAGAAAGCACAAGAACAACTTCGCCGGTAAAATTAAGAAGTTACCTCAGGATAATTTTTATTTAATCTGAAATTGCTTTTACTTTTTTTATCCCATTGGCTATCGTGAATTTATTAAGACAGGAAAAGTTCCCGTCAAAACATAATTTACTCATCACTGCTTTTGAATATTTACTATGCAGGTCGGCGTTGGAAAAAATGACGAAAACAAAAACGGTTGGGAAACCTTGTCATAGATTCTGGCATTCATAATGAAATGTGGCAATTTAGAAAACTCGAGTTGACTGGGCCCCAGAAGTGTCTACTTTATTTGCGTAAAGCGTGAATTGGTGATGTTAATGCCAGTTTCGCTCGGGAGATTCCTCCTGGTACGGCAATCTGTTATCTGTCTACCAATTCACTCATCATCGTTAATGTTTAAGCAATGAATGGTTCTGAAAGAATATTCTATCTTCGCAACATATTAGTTCCATAATTTCTTATTTTAACTGTTAGGGCGACGCTGCCCGGGCAGGTGAAACGTATCAGAGGTTAGAAGGAAGGATAAGCCAGTATACGAAAAGGCAATCTGGACAATTTGAATATGTGCGTTAATTCATCCGGGTCCGCGATTGTTGAACCTTTACTAAAAAAACTATCAAAATAACCAATATAATAATTTACATAATTTACCCATCACTGCATTTGGATATTTACTATACAGAGGGGCGGTGGAAAATTTTCCCATGTGGACGACGACGTAAAAAAGTTTGGGTATTCCCGATCTACAGCTTCAAATGATGTTTGATATTGTATTCACAGAAAAGAAAAAGAGGGTGGAGTAACGGAAAGCGGCTCGGATTGAGGAATTGTAGAGACGAGTTCGAATTCAGTCGAATCTATTACATTCACATTCCCTTACGTACTTATACCCTTGGGAAAGGTAAGAATCCTCTTCTTCTACCGCCAGCTATGAGTAAATTTCAGGATAGATGGGTTCTATAGTCTTGGGTGGCAACTGGTCTATCGCAGAAAGAAATGGCAACCTACTGCGGGAAAAAAAATCTGCCTCGTCAGTCATATATCGAAAGATACTTGATCGCCTAAACGTGTATCACACATGGCACATAATTGACTGACTGACGTCCTAATACTCTTGGGAAAGATATGAATCCTCTTCTTCTCCTCTCTCCAGGTATGGGTAAATAGCAGGACAGACTGAGTTCTATAGTCTTGGTCTGTTGCAGAAAGAAATGGCAACCTACTGCGGGAAAAAATCTGCCTCGTCAGTCATGTATCGAAAGATACATGATTACCTAAGCGCGTATAACGTATGGCCCATACTTGACTGATTGACGTGCTAATACCCTTGGGAAAGGAATGAATCCTCTTCTACTTCCGCCAGCTAAGGTGTGTGTGGGTGGGGGGGGAGAAGATATGGTAAATTTCAGGACAGAAATGGTTTTATAGCCTTGGATGGCAACTGGTCTACCGCAGAAAGAAATGACAATCCACTGCGGGAAAAAATCTGCCTCGTCAGTCATGTATCGAAAGATACATGATCGCCTAAGCATGTATCATGTATGACACATAACTGACTGACTGATCACTACGAATTAATTCTTCTTTGGAGACTGCAGATGAAAATGCCAAGATCGAGATAATGTGTAGTCGGTATCATAATAAAATCTGCAGACAATATGTTAATAAGCAAGAGAGGTTGACAACCCATCAAGAAAATATTTGAAGAATCTGTTGTTTCGAATCACGCACGACCTTAAGTGGATCTGGTGCATACGATCCGTTGATAAGGATGCAGGTAAAATGGTCGGCGAATGTTCAGCAACGACGGGTCTGTTCAGTACCTTGATGGGTGACCGCTTGGGAATATCAACTGCGGTAATCTTGGATGTGCGGGTGGTGTAACGGATAATGACAAGGAATTGTTAATCGGAGAGCCGAGTTCCAATTCCCGTTGGGTTCGTTATATTCTCTTACTTTGGAGAGTATAAAGCTATCTCTTCTCTAACCGGTGGGCGATTTCAACTGTTGGGCAAGTGATTTCAACTGCGATGTGCAATTGAACAGAAAATGGTGGTCGATTGGAAATTTCCCTAGGCGATATAGGAATTTGAGAATTAAAAAGTATTTCAACATATTCTACCCGAAAAAATATTCAAAGCAGTTTTGCTAAGAAGCCATATAAAAAAAGTCTCATTCGAAATAAGTAGATAAGATTTAAATATTCCTGTAAACATCGAATATTTTAGTATTGTTTTGAGCAGATTCACTGATATTCAAAGACTTCGTAACTTTTGCCATATGAAACTGAGTAGGAAGAATGATGGCGTATGTAGGAGAATTGATGGCGTAAGTAGAAAGGGAAGGAAAATGATGTTATTGGTTGGAAAATGTGAAGGAAAGACATAATTGTCTCTTTATTTATAAGAATAGTATAGATCGTTGATTTTGCCATACGAAACTGAGCAGGAAGAGACAATATCATCAACAATTGTTTTTCTCTTAACTTTTCTTTTTCCTTTACTAGTATCACTGCTAGTTTTCTTTGGAGCCATGACTGAGGACTAATGAAGAGAAAAAAAGACACAGTACAATAAAATTGGAAAAGAAAGAGATTATGCAGCAACTTCTCTTACCGGTGGGCGATTTCAACTGTTGGGCAAGTGCTTTCAACTGCGATCTGCAATTTAACAGAAAATGGTGCGCGATTGGAAATTTTGGTGGTCGATATAGGAGTTTGTGAATTAAAAAAAAGTTTTTCAACAATTTCTGCCCGAAAAATATTCAAAGCAGTTAAAAAAAAACAACCCTCTCTTTCCTCATTATCTATGTTACAATGTTAATCTGTCTCTTCCTCGTGTGAAGTATATATCCTTTTTGTTTCCATGTTCTCTAAATCTACATAATTGTGTGGTCCCTAGTATTCTCAGCATCCTTCTGTAGAACCATTTTCCTGTTGGATCAAGTATTTTCTTCATTTGTGGGACGATTGTCCAGCCTTCACTGCCATATACGAGGACTGATATGATATAAGAGTTCAGTACATTTTTGTGGGCTGGCTTACGGTTACAGCACGTTTGAACACCGGCTCCCGCACGATCACCGAAGTTAAGCAATCGAGTCTCTTCAGTACCTAGATGGGTGACCGTTTTGGAATACAAGATACTGTAAGCTTAGATTTGCGTGTGGTGTAACGGATAATGACATGGAATTGTTAATCGGAGAGCCGTGTTCTAATTCCGGTTGGGTTCGTTATATTCACCTATTTTGGAGAGTATGAAGCCACCACTTCTCTACCCGGTGGGCAATTTCCAATTGAACAGAAAGATGTGGGCGATTGGAAATTTCGGTTGGTGATATAGGAATTTGAGAATTAAACTTTTTTTTTGTACACGAAAAAAAATTTTCTACCCGAAATAATATTCAAAACAGTTCTGCTAAGAAGATGTATAAAAAAAAACAAAAAACAAAACAAAACAGGAGAGTCATTGAGAATAACTAGATAAGATTTAAATATTCCTGTAAACAACGAATATTTTGGTATTTTCTATAGTTTTGAGAAGTGTCATTCATATTCATCTAGTTTTCAAGACAAAATAATATTATATATATATATATATATATATATGTGTGTGTGTGTGTGTGTGTGTGTGTGTGTGTGTGTATACTGGCAGTAGAGCCCGGCGTTGCCGGGGATGTAACAGTAAGTGATAGATCAAGTATCGACCATCATAAAGACTGAAAAATAAAATTGACAAAGATTATTGTTTAAGGTTGACGGACACGCATGTCTTAATTAGTTTTTTTTTTTCACGAATTGGTCAAACCCAAATTCAAACAAAAACATTGTTTACAATCGTTATGAGTCTATCGATTGGTGAATAGAATTTTATTATAAACAATTGTCTTGTAAATGGAATTTTTAAAGCATTCTGAATGTGAAAATAAAGAAGAAAGTGTACAAGACAATAAGAAACACTACCTGCCAAAAAAAGTGAAGTTTTGTTGAAATCGGTTGAAAAAGGTAGGAAATCCGATCCCCTATATAAACGAACACACACAAACAAACAACCTGGGTTTTAAGTATAACTCGATATGAGTTGTTCCCCTTTCATTCTCGCACAGTGATGCCTCTTAATCGTGTTTTCAAATTGATTTTGGGCGAAAACAATTGTGTTTTTCCTATTTTCGGCTCTGTCAGAACCACCGCAAGGTAATCTTACGTAGTCCTGTGAAGTTTTGTTGAAATCTGTTGAAAAATGTAGGACATCCGATCCAATATATAAACGAACAAACACACACACACAACCTGGGTTTTATAATAAGTATTATATATATATATATATATATATATAAATCAGATAAGGGAAGACAAAGAACAACTTTGTCAGTAAAATTAAGATGTGACCTCAGGATAATTTTTATTTAATATGAACCGCCTCTTCTACTCCAACAGCTTCTTCTCTCGCACTTCCCAACAGTGGAACTCTCTTCCTGCTACTTGCTTCCCTGATAGCTATAATCTTCAAATATTTAAATGTCATGTCAATCAGCATTTTCTGATGCCTTGGTCTTGCTCCACGCCCTTCTCTTTATCCTTTCCTCAAACACACTTCCTTGCTCTAACTCTCTGTAACCCCCTGCGTGCTAGTGCCACTCTCGCCTTGCTTGGGGTGATATGCTTACCCCCCCCCCCACACACACACAGACAAACACCCTCTTACTTGTTTCCCTGATAGCTATAATCTTCTAATATTCAAATGTAATGTCAATCGACATCTTCAGATGCTTTGACCTTGATCCCTGTCCTTCTCTTTATCCTTTTCCCAAACACTCCTCTTATCCTTTTGCCAAACACTCCTCTTTACTCTTACTCTCACTCTCTGTAACTCCTTGCATTCTAGTGGCAATCCGGCCTTGCTTTAAAAAAATCTCATTGTCCATCTTGAATTTATCAAGGCAGGAAAAGTGCCCGTCAAAATATAATTTAGCCATCACTGCTTTTGGATATATAGTATACAGGTCGGTGGTGGAATTGTTAATCGGAGAGCCAAGTTCTAATTCCGGTTGGGTTCGTTATATTCTCTTACTTTGGAGAGTATGTAGCCAGTTCTCTCCCCGGTGGGCGATTTCAACTGTTGGGCAGGTGCTTTCAACTGCGAATCACACCCAACCTTAAGTGAACCTTTTACATACGTTCCGTTGCTTACGATGCAGTTAAAATGGTCCGTGCCCTCTATCGCTCCTGTAAGTACTTGATTCCTCCTACTATACTCTAAATTTACAAGAGCCGGATGAGATCAAAAATGGAGTACCGTTGTCATATTTGGGCGGGAACTGCTATGACCTCACTCTCCAGCCTTGATAGAGTTCAAAAGTGTCCCCCGAGCCCTTCTGGGTGACGAATTATTCTCCACCCTTCAACCTCTCTCCCACAGGCAGGACGTGGCAAGCCTCTCGCCCATCTACCGCTATTTCCATGGAAAGTGCTCGGATGAACTATATTTCCCGGTCCCGCCAAGGCAAACCTTTACGACAAGAACACGCCATGCCACTTACATAGTAGCAAACCATCGACATTCTCCCCGTATTCCATCGTTGACACGTACGTTCCACTGGAGCATTGAATCGCTGCCCTATGAAATCGATTCCCAACAGGAAGATTGCTACAATCTTAACCTATTAAGGGCTCGGGTTAATCATTATCTTTCTCAACTGTACACACAAATGGCCCCCTAAATTAACCCTCTAGCTCCAGTGGCTCCCAGGCCTTGTAAAGTGTGTCTCTAACTGTTAAAAAAAAGATATAAGATGTAGAATATTGAAAAGAAAAAGTGCCTAAAGACAGGAAATTTGCCAAACTACGAAGAGAAATGTGAAATTTAACTTAAGAATTTAACACCGGAACTGATTTCTCAACAGTAATCATATTGTCTATATTTCTGAGATGAGGTATTGCAACTATACTTATTAAATTATTCGGACTGTTGTCCACATCTTTGGTGCCGTATTCACAACGTTTCGGGCATTGTACGCTCCGGCCTTCTTCAGGATGGGTCTATGTTTATGAGATGAGGTATTTTAACCATTTACACTATTTACCTTATTCGGACTGTTGTCCTCATCTTCATTGCCATATTTACTACGCTTCGGTGGTTGTACGCTCCGGCCTTCTTCAGGATCTGTCTATATTTACGAGATGAGGTACTGTAAAGATTTACACTATTTACATTATTCGCACTGGTGTCCTAATCTTCATTGACATATTTATTATGTTTCGGCCATTGTACACTCCGGCCTTCTTCAGGATCTGTCTATATTTCAATACTTGGCCACTTCAGAGGCGGACAAAAGAATGGGCAGTAGATATATTCTTCAATAAAGTTCATACAAACAAGGAAAAAGGTCAGATTTGCATTAAATAATGGGTTCAGTCTGAAATTCCCTGAAGGTTATCTGAATCAACAGACACCTGAAGAATGCCAGAGTAATAACAACAAAGATAAGGACATTAAAAAAATCATTAAAAATAAATTAATAAGTAAAAATAAACACTAAAAAGTAAATAACAAGATAAGTAACTGTCTATATTTCTGATATGATGTATTGTGATTATTTACATTATTTTCAGTGTTCGGACTGTTCTCCTTATCTTTATTGCCATATTCACGACGTTTCGGCCGTTTTACGCTTTGGACTTCTTCAGGATCTGTATATATTCCTGAGATGAGGTATTGTAAATATTTACATTATTTTCATTGTTCGGACTGTTGTCCTCATCTTTATTGCCATATTCACAACGTTTCGGCAGTTGTAAGCTCCAGCCTTCTTCAGTATTTGTCTATATTTCTGAGATGAGGTATTGCAATTATTTACATTATTTTCATTGTTCGGACTGCTGTCCTCATCTTTATTGCCATATTCACGACGTTTCGGTAGTTGTAAGCTCCAGCATTCTTCAGGATCTGTCTATATTTCTGAGATAAGGTATTGTAATTATTTACATTATTTACACTGTCCGGATTGTTGTCCTCATCTTCGTTGCCATATTCACAGCGCTTCGGCCGTTGTACGCGCCGGACTTCTTCAGGTGATGGAATAATCTTGGAAATTACATTAGAATCCACATCACTAAAGCCAACTCTATGGCTGTGATACGCAGATAACACCTTCATACACTGGCCACATCGATAGATCCATCTACTACTGGAACATGTGAACTCAATAAGATCATCGATACAGTTCACAATGGAGAGAGAAAACGACAACAAACTTGCATTTCTGGATGTACTCGAACAGAGCATGGGGTCATGATATCGGTATACCGTAAGCCAACATTCACCAGGCAATACTTCAACTTCCACCACCCATAAGTGTAAAGAAAGAGATCGTCCGCTGCTTACAACATCGAGCAAATGTCATAAGTGGCGACCCAGAGACATATGAACAAGAAATGGTCAGTATAAGCAGTACCCTACACCGTAACATCTACCCTGGGTAAAGACAGCAGCTCCGACAAACTGGGATAGAAGGATATAAGAGGATGACAACACTCGGACTGCCTACACTCGGAAAAAACACAAAAGATCTGTGATCCGTATAACATCTTCCGAATAAGACATTCCATGGAGGTGACCATGGCTAAGGACTGTGTGTACGCCATACCTTGCAGCTGTAGAAAGAAATATAAAGAAGGAACGGGCTTCCCCCTTAAGGTGAGACTGCAAGAACATCGTAAAGCTGTAACTCAAGGGGAAATAGAAAAATCAGGCCTAGCTGACCACGTATGCAGGAAAAAGGAAGTGCCAGAGAAAAACAATAATAAGAAAATTGCAATATAAGCGGTGGTAAAAAAAAATAGTTACTGAGACATTAAGTTTTCTAAGCTCCAAAATGGATAGTATAAGCAGTACTCTACAATGTAATCAATACCCTGATTATATGACAGCAGCTGTAACAAACTGGGATAGACGGGTGCAAGAGGATAACAACGCTCAGAAAGTAGCTTCACCCTGCCTACCCTATGTGAAGGGCTTGTCGGAGAGATACATAAGATCAGGGTCTATGTAATATTAGGACGGCCCTCAAAGGTGATTCAACATTTAGCAGACACCTCTTCCGAGTAAAACCCGCCATAGAGGAGAACATAACTAAGAACTGTATGCACGCTAT